GTATGGGGTTTACGTAGCAATATGAGCCTCATGATGGAGAGTCAAGTGGGAAAAACGTCATGGAAACTGGGATGAAACAGGTTTTTGAGCCGGACTGTGCTGCGCATCCTGTGCGTAGACAAACTACAAGTAAGGGAAATCAAGACATCCCCAAATCACGCCCGGAAACATAGTCACTCTGGTCCTCAGAAGGCAATCCCATGACTTTGCCACACCAGTCCTCCACGGTAAGTGAGCCGTGCCATTTCTTCCGAACGAAGAGGTCTGCGTGGTCGAAAACCAGCTCCCTCTCCTCAATTCGTGAGGTCATGAGGAACACTGACGAAATAACCAACTGGGCGGTGTGAAAGAAACGTAAGGTGCCTGCCCAAATCCCCTGACTTGCTATGCCTCCCTTGCGGCTTGGCGACCCAAATTCTTCACGAATGTTTGGACAGAAGAGCCGCAAAGAATCCGAGGTTCATAAGGTGCTACCTTCAACCCCAGGGCAATCTCTACTGGGAGTTCTGCAAAGCAGTCTGCGCACAAATTCTTTAAATGCAGCCCTTGCAGCCCCGTATCGTAACTATCGCCATGCGTAAGGATCTTTACAAGTGGTTTCTCTACCTGAGGAAGCTTACAAACACGTACCACAAACCACAAGAACGACATGGGGTCCGAGGATACTGCTCCTGTCAACAAGAATACCTTGCTCAGTACATCCTGCCATCCAAGTTTCTGATTCACGGATTCGCCTCGCAACCTTTGCAGGAGGTTGGCACACAAAGTAATCCGGCTTCTGCTGAATAGGCAGAACCTGGGAGTCTTGGGATGAGGGTCTTGCAAAATAGGGCGGGGCTTCATGATGATAGGATCCCCCTCAAATATTCTAAGGTGTTTTGATCGACTCCCACCTCCTTCTTGTCGATCCTTGTCACGCTCCTGGGAAGACGGCTGAGTTGCAACTGAAGGTTTTGTTCATCTCTATACCTACCAGGGCCCTCCTCGCACCCTTAATTGGGCTATAGAATTCCCAGGCTAAATGAAGGGTAAATGGAGCCTAGTAGGAGGGTTTGGGTATACGAAGTGGCGGGCACATCA